GGTCCTGTTCAGTGGGCCGTGTTTGGTTGAGGCTCAGGTTTCCTGGGACAGGGCTGTTGGTCTAGGTGCTTACACACTTTTCCCTAGCAGTGAAATGCTCAGCCTGCTGGTGGCTTGAGGATTTTGCCTCAGAGTCTCATACTGTATTTAGTCCCTGGAGAGAAAGGATTTTGAAGTTGATTGTGTACTGTGTTGACAAGTAGGGGTTAATGTAACCAACTCTCCCGCCTAGGAGCTTGGAGACATAAACGTAGAACTCTAGCTTGGCAGACAAACCTAGAACTCAGCAAAGAAGTTAGCAGGCCACACGTCCTTTGCATCTCCAGAGATGTAAACCCGCCACAATGGTTCTCACAGAAGTGAAATTTTCTTGGTGGGAAAGGACCAATTAAAAGCCCACCAGTAGCTAACAACTCTAATCCTAGCTACTCAGAAGGTTGAGATCGAAGGATTATGGTTCAAAGCCAACCCAGACAGGTTGGCTGACTTCAAACTTAAATCCCCAAATCTCAGTTTCCTGAGTAGCAAGGATTACAAGTGTGAGCCACTGGTGCCTGGCTAGTTTTGTCTACTTTTATCTATTCTGTTGTTCATTTAATAAATTATTTTCATAGATATTAGATCCACTCATTGTGGGTTTAAAAAATGTATATTTAAGGCTATGAATTTTCCCCTCAGCATTGCTTTAGTCAGAATAAGGATTTTTTTGGGGGGGGTCGGTTGTGGGGCTTGAACTTAGGGCTTGGGCTCTGTCCCTGAGACTTTTTGCTCAAGGCTAGTGCTCTACCACTTTCAACCACAGTGCTAACTTTCTGGTGGCTAATTGGAGACAAGAGTCTCATGGATTTAATTACCCAGGCTGGCTTTGAACCATGACCCTCTGATATCATCTTCTGAGTATCTAGGATTACAGGTGTGAGCCACTAGCACCTGGCAAGGATTTTTCTATAAATCTTCATGACTCAAAGATTCCATTGGAAGCCTTTGCTAACTACAAATTTCTTGGGCCACTCTCAAACCATTTGAGTTGGAATGTGCTGTTTTCAGAGAATCCAAAATACATCTTTGAGGAAAAAATAATTGCATTTTAGGGCACAGAATTTATTTTTTGATGATCTCTTTTCTTCCCCACAGGCACTTGGAAGTTACATCCTGTGTGTTTGGAGAATCCCACCTGATATGTGAGTTTGGTTCTGTTTATTGGCTATGTGTAGTCATCTACTGACTGCACAAAGCCTACTTGCTTTGTTATGTGTGGCACCAGATAGGAATGAGGATCCCCTTACTCTTCAAATTTTTAAAAATTATCTTTAAGTAGTTGTACAAAGAAATTTCAATTCATTTCGATTTATGAGTGCATCCCATCTTAATGGCTGGAGTGGCTCCTGGTTGGAATGAAGATCCCTTTATTCTTGTAACCAATCTCTCTTTCTCTCTCTCCCTCTCCCTCTCTTTGTCCATCCATTTTATGGATGTTTTATCCATAAATGTTTATCCATAGATGTTAATCCATCTATCCATTAATCTATCATCTGTCTGTCATCTATTATCTGTCTATTCAATCCATCCACCCATCCATCTACCATGTATTTATCAATCCATACATTTAAGTCATCTTTCCATCCATCCATCCATTTATATCTATCATCTATCCATTAATAATGTTTATCCATTCATTTATCTATCTATTTAGCTAGCTAGCTATCATCTTCCTATCATCTGTCCATGCATATTTTCTGTAATTTTGTGAAATCAGATGAAATGCTACTTACAAAAATCAAGTACCTACCATGCTCTGATTTCCATTTTCTTTTGCCTGCGTGTCTGAACTGTTCTGCCATTGTTTACTTAAAAAAATTACCTTTTATATCAATGAAGTGACTAAAAGTTTATTTTTTGTAAGTATGAACTCATGCTCAAAGAGCATGTGGTTCCCTGATCCTCACCAGTGTGTGCATGAACATCTTTGTCCCTGACTCTCACCTTGAGAGAGTGGGCAGCAGGCCCCCTCGCTTACCTGCCCTCAGACACTCTTCTTCATTTCTGCTCTGAACACTCCATGAATCAGAATACACATAACGGCTTCCCCACCACTGGTGTAAGATTCGCAGTAATGAACGTGACACTCTTTGTATTTACCTGTTTACCATTTATTTGTTGGATACAATACTCTTAACAATGACATTTGTTGAGTTTACCTGTAGATCCCCTAGAGGAGTAACATATACAATAGTAACAGAATGTAACATAAGAAGTTATGTGGGGAAAAAAAAAGCAAACCAAAGCATTCTAAATGGATGATGCACTGCAACCTGGCTGTGCTGGTTCATGTAGCTCTAATGCTAACCTTTGCAGTGCTAAGTGGCCTGTGGCCAAGGTGCGTCTTGTGATCGCTGTCACAAACATCGGAGCTGCGCTGTGGCTTCCTGGGCACCTACCATATTGGCCTAGAAGAAGGAGCTAGGGGATGATTAGTTCCTTAATTCTGCTTGTCCTGCCTTAGAGTCAGATTGGTTTTTTTCCTATCACTGCCTGATGAAGGTACCTATTCATAGGCTGTGAACAAAAACCGGCATTTAACTTCTTTGTAAAACTAGAATGATCCCGATGTTCTTCAAATGTGCTAAATTAAGGACCAAAAAGTCACGTTCTAAGAGAATGACAGGGAACACTGACAGCCTCCTTGAAGACAAAGCAGAAAATCAGGCTGGGTTACAGGGCACTCAACCCCAAGGATCCAGGTCACGCTCAATGGAGAACCACTGGATGTGGAATTGCTAGCTCTCTTTCATATGCAGTGTTTCTTTTTCATATATGAAACAGGTGGTGTGTGTGTGTGTGTGTGTGTGTGTGTGTGTGTGTGTGTGTGTGTGTGTAGGTTGTAAGTTGCCATTACTGTCCCAGAAATAAATAAGGGGGGTCCCCAAAGGCAGGAAAACAGCACCTTTGCACATGCCACCTGGATCCTGGCAGGGTCTTTGTTGCATAGAAAGGACTGTTTTAGAGTGTCACTCGTTACAGCAGCAGAGTTTTCAAGCAGCTACAGAGCAACAGATGGCAATGGGAAACTTAGTGAGACAAGGGAATTTTGTAATCATCGCTGAACTGCTTTCTCTCTTCTAACCAAGCAGGGCCCTGCAGGAGGTCAGTGTGGCTGAAGGCCCACGAAAGGGACTCTGCAGAACCCCACCCGGGGTGCTGCCCAGTCACAAGGCCATGACTTGGAGGAGGTTGGGCTTTGCTGTCCACTGTCTACCGCTCTGCTGCGGTCACCCCCCTGCTGGCTTGGAGTTGGGATTCGAGGTTTGGTCGGCCTTGGGTTTGGTCTGAGTAAGGCACTTGTGTAAGGTGCTAGGAAAAGGCAAATAGATGCATTAGTTTTTGGCTTCCTGTGTCCAGCTGTGTGGATGGACCAGCTGCTGACACCGCAGCACTGGGCTGGCTTGTAGCGTAGGAGGAGAGGAGAAAGGAGGGAGAGGTCCCGGGACACTGCAACGTCCACTCCACCACAGGTGTGTGAGAGGGCGGGAGGGAGGCCGTGTGTGCGCGTGTGAAAGGAGAGACCGTGTGCCTGTGTATATGTGCACGTGTGGGGGAGACAGTGTGTGAATGTGTATGTATGTGTGTAAGGGAAGACTGTGAGACTGTGTGTGTGTGTGTGTGTGTGTGTGTGTGTGTGTGTGTGTATGCCCGTGTGGAAGAGAGACATCTGTTGGTGAGTGTGGGTACTGCGAGTGCTCTGGGAGGGCTGGTGTGACTTGAATGTGAGTTACTTGTGTATAGCTGGGGCATTTTTTTTTGTCAGTCCGGAGCTTGAACTCAGGGCCTGCATGCTGTACCTGAGCTTTGTGCCACAGAGCTACTTCTGGCTTTCTAGTTCTTAATTGGAGATAAGAATCTCATGGACTTTCCTACCTGGACTGGCTTCAAACCATGATCCTCAGATCTCAGCTTCCTGACTTACTAGGATTATAGGCGTGAGCCACTGGTGCCTGGATGGCTGGACAACTTTCAGAGCAGTGAGGAAGGATTTGATCAGGTCTGTCCTGAGCCTTCTCTGGTTGCTTAGGGGAGCCCCACCTAGCAAGGCTGAACTTTTGACATGTGAGCGTCAAGGAAAGGCTGCAGGAGGTCAGGGGCATTGGGAAGGTGTGTCCCTGCTGCCCAGGCAGTGAGCCCCGTCAGGGTCTCACTGGCTCAGAATGCTTGGTAAACGTCATCTATGAGGGGGCAGGAGGATGGACAGACAGGCTTGTCCACCGCGCTCCTGGCTCTGGTTAGCACCGCCAAGGGCTCACAGGCTCCTAAGAATATTCTGACATAGACCAGAGTTTTAGCAGTTTTCCAGGATGCATTGATGTGTTGTATTGATTTGTCAGAGAACAATGGTCTGTAGTTTCAGCCTGAGAATTCCTAATAAAGTTAAGCAGGCATAAAAATGTCCCCTCCGAGACCAGCCGGGGGCGGGGGGTGGGGGAGGGCAGGAATTCGTTCCCATTGAGTTTAATTTGTTGCTTTTGTGGTTTCTGTGATGTCATCCCACATGTGTACGCCGGAGAAATTCATCCCTGGAGGTGTCACCTCTGCGTGCAGATTTCCAAATGGAAAATGTTATGGATTGTTTCTCTTGGTTGTTACACATCTGAGTCCGTGTGTCAGGAAGACACACTGTGGAGACCATGTCAGAAGATAAGTGTTTATCTGGGAGGCCTGGAAGGCTCGCCACCTCCTTCCACACGAGGTGGGGCTGTGAGCCTAAAACCTCCCCTGGCCGTGCCAAGGCAAGGAAGCCGTTTTCAGCCTCATGTCTGGATGCTAGACCTTCTCAGTCAAATTAACTCTATCATCCATGCCTGTAAAGTTTTATTAAAAATATCAAAGCATAGTTAGATTGCCACTGACATATCATCATTGATTTAAAAACTATATTCCATCATTTAAGGAGTATAAAAAGGGAGACACACATTCCCCCCCCCCCCCCCCCCCGCCCCTGCAAACCATAACCCTAGTTATTGGTTCCAAAGTTACACTACAGTGGAAATTATTGCCAGGTATTCTTTATCTGATGAATAGTGCATCTTAAAAGCTTAACATTCCTTGTATTATCTGTGTACTAAGAGGAACTATTGGGATTAAATATATTCTTACTCAGAAATAAGTTGTATGGCTCTAACAAAAGCAATTAGCACTATGGAGATAGGAATGTGTCCCTGGCCACAGCCCCGAAGTGGCCATCAAAGACGTGGCATAAGATCACAGTTTTAACCTCCCTGGTTCTATGTAACAAATGAGAACAACAACAACAAAAATAGTTGGTTCACATCTTCTACTTCCACTAGGAAGAGGGGGCTAAATTTTAGATCTAAGGAGGTGGGCATCTAAGAAAGTCAGTACCCACGTAATGCACCATTGAATTCTGTAAACCTTTTCCATAGTAAGTATCTTGGCCTTCCTACAATTACCAAATGTAACATCTGTCGCAGCAATTCTGTATGCATCGCCTCAGCAGTACTAGCATCTAACATGGCCTTACAATTTTAAGAAATAACTATGTAATAAATGCATGCTAAAGGAGTTGGAATGTATTAGAGCTAGGTTCCTTTTTGTGTGCTATTTGTGCCACGGATCAATTATCCATAGTCACGAACATCATTGCCTTCGATACACTGGAGAGCATGGGCAAAGTTAAAGGCAGTTGTGTTTTCTGGAAGGCAAGCCAAGATTCTTGGCACGTATTTTTCTTTCTGCCTCAAGGCATAGGAAAACGCTGAAATGACCCTGAAGAAAGTCTTATCATAAAGCTGCGGAACAGTTAGTTCTTGCCTTCTAATGCGGAAGCTGGTCAGATCTGACCCACCAGAAGATGGATAGCATTTTGACCTCATTATTCATGTGGATCAGGCACCTTAAAGATCTCAAGAAACCAGCTCTCCAGGCAGATACGGGGAGAGTGACAGGCGGGAGAGGCAGTGTGCCCAAGCTTGTCCTTCATGAAAATACAGGATTAGGAAATTGAATTCCTTATCACATTGCATGATCTCAAGGGGTTGGATGCAAATTTTTAAGGTTCAGACTATGCTAAACACATCTTACTCCTGTCACCTGGTTGAGAAAACAGACAGAACTGCATGGTAACTCAGGCTTCGGTGTACAGTGTCTACTAACAAGGGAAGCAGACGTGGGCTGTACCAAGGAGCACATTTGGCTGTAGTTTCCATTTGGCTGAGGATGCTGCCTACTTCTGTAGATTTTATCTACAGAACTGAGTGGTTTCTAGTTCATATCTGAAAACCATCATGGTCCCACGGAAGGCCTCATCTATCTGTCTGAACGTGGGCTCATTGTCTTGCAGCTGAGAAGACAATGCACTAATTTGCTTAGCTCCACACAGTACAGGGAGATGGAGGTTTGAAGTGCTGGGGCATGTGTAGAAACATCACCCTTCCCATCTAAATAGTGGGTCTGTTGCCAGCTCTTGGTGAAGAGCAGCCAGAAAAAGGTATTGTTTCCATAAAGCAAAAACCTTGAGCACTACTGAGATCCCCTCGTGGTCTGCACTTCAAACACGCTCACGGCCAGGCAGCTCAAGGTCAAGTGTCTGCCTGGGTGGCTGGCTTGGTGTGGCCACACCTCCACATTCCTGTATGCCTCTCAGGTTCTCTCCAGAGATCCCTGGCCAGAAGCCAGATCCTCCCCTATCGTCTCTGCCTGCGTGGCCAAGTGGGGCCATCAGCGTGCAGGGGCCCAAGGCCTCCCTGAAGGCGAAACCCAGCCTGGACCTGCAGGTTCTCAGCTCTGGCCCAAGCTAAGGCTTTCAGGAAAACCACTCCAGCGTCTACAGGGGTCTCTGGAGCCCGGTCTGATGCCACCACCATAGCTGCGCTGTGGGTGGTTGGGAAGCTGCTTTCCACTAGAGCCTTGATCAGAAAGTAAACATCGTGTCCAGAATCGCACCAGGCGGGAGCCTGCAACACTGTGAAGGCATTCAAAGCACGACAAGCCCTCCTTCCATGGGAAACAGCGGCGGGCGGCGGCTACCGCAGCGACCGCGCCGTGAACGCCCTGCACATAAATTAATAATTTACAAGTACCTGAGCTAGTACACAGAGCACCACAGCACAGCACAGCACTGGCCGCAGTAGCTCAAAGTTCTTGAAAATAATTGGTGTTTTAAAGATTAAAAACATTTCCCCCCCCTCCCCTCAAAGTTGGTACAAAAAAAATGTCACTCCCAACTGGAGTTGATAGTGCAAACTTCTGTCTTCACTGTGGAACTAAGGTGTCGGTGGGCCTGCTGCTCACTTCACATAGGCAAAGCGGGTGCCTCTGGACATTTGGGGTGGATACTTGGGAACAGGTCTGAAGGAGAAGCAAACAAAATGGTGGTCAGAGGTGTTGGGAGTGACTTCTATAAACATGGCTGTCCAGGGCGGGGCCAGTTTTTTCCTGTACTCTTGTGGGCTTCTGAGATCTCAGCATTAAGAGGAGCTGGAGACCATCATTCCTTCTGGAAGGAGTTGTTGATCACAAGGACCAGGCTCAAGCACCCAGATTTCCCAGTGTCTTACAACGAAGGACCCAACGGAAGCCTTCTCCAAGGCAGCCCCTCCCATCCACCAGCTCATTTCAGAACAGCACCGTACAACAGGAAGATGGTGTGAGTCACTTAGAGAATGAAGTTTTCTAGTAGCCATAGTTGGGGGAGGGGGGGGGGGGAGAAATTCATCAGATTAACTTTAGTCATCATTTTCCTTTAACCAGAGGATCTGGACTGACAGTGTGTTACCCTTGCAGCCACCACACGCCAGGAGCTACTGGATTATACAGCACAGCTCTTAAGACCCAGAGAAAAGCAGAGCGCGCGGGGTGGGGGGCCTCAGAAAGGAGCGCTGATTCAAGCCAGCTTCCGATGCTACCACACAGTGGCAAGACAGCCCACTACTTAAGGCCATTTTAAAAAAGGAAACTTCCTTCATCCTCATGTCATTGTAATGGGCTCCCCACCCCCCAACGAAACAGAATAAGAAAAGCAACTTCAAGTTCAGCCTACAAACCACAATGAGATAAAGCAAGAGGCGATGCAGTCTTTCTGCATTCGTGTAGCCAGGATTAAAACCATCCTCCCCACCCTTAGAACCAGCTTTATCTCTGAGATTTATTAGGCAGCTATTTCTTTCACAGGCCAAAGGTTCTTCCCAAGGGCTGTAATGAAATCACTAAAGTGTGTCTTCCCCTTCAGAGATGGGAGTTAGTGCAGGGCTGGCTCATCGTCGGTACCTTTGGTTCCTCGGAGCTCACAATGCGGGCATCCTGCCAGGGGCACGGGAGGTGGAAGGGCTGTTTGGCTGTGAGCTCAGCACCACTGTGTGCTTCTCTGAGTTTAATAAACCGCCAGAGAAGCAGAGCCTGGTCTGTAGCATTTTGCCCTGTGGGAAGTATCCCCACTGGGGTGTCACCAAGAGGTGTAAAAGCAAAGGGAAAGTGGCGTTCTGAGTAGTCGTTATCTTTGTTCTTAGTACAACTTATAGTAAGATGGTTTAATCCTGGGCTGGATACCTAGCTGGCAGGAATCCCTGGAAATTGGCTGTACCTCAACAAGGCCCTGTACCAGCTCCTGCGCAGAAGGGGGCCAACCTCTGGTGTAAGAGGATTCAGTCTGTGCGCTGTGGGGAGCAGGCAGGTCACCCCAGCAGGTGACTCAGTTGTACAAAGAAGCTCCCAGCCCCCCACCTCAGTTCATTTTGCCCGACATTTTCTGCTCAGCCCTCACAGGTCCAAGACTGGGATCCCTGGACGGGGCCAAGTGGGTCTCTCGGGAGCGGGAGCCTGTCCTCCGTACTCCCCGCACACTGCCCAGGCCTGTGTGGCCCTGGGACTTAGGAGCTGGGCTGACTGGTCATTTTCACATGTATTTCTCATCAGCTGCTGTTGTGGGGCAGGCCGGAAGCACAGCCTAGCCCTCCCCTCCCCTGTCCCAGCTGCCCAATGGGGATGGAAAGAGGAAGACTCACCTGGTGGGGGCTGGGCGGGGCCCAGGCTCCTGCTGGCCTGGGGTCCTGGCTACCGAGGCCGCGGCGGTACTGGTGAGGGTGCTGGTGAGCCGGGGTGCTCTGCTCAAAGGATTGGCGGGCAGAGGCTTCTGAGGGGGGCTTGGCTTACAGGGTCCCTGGAATAAACATGAAACTGTGAGTGTCCTCTCAGCTCCAGAACCAGACGCTGCTCCCAGAGAAGTTCTAGAAGGTTTCACTTCCTGCATGGAACCCCCTTCCCTGTACAAGGAAACAGGGCCATGACCGTTAACCTTGGCAAACTTTTCTTCCCCCAAATTTCCAACGTGGAAAGACTTGCTGGTAGAATTGTGTAGCTCTGAGCACGCCTCAGGGGCCAGCAGACTTGACAGATACAGCTTCTGTTGGGATTTCCACAGGGGAGGGGGATTCTCCTGTGACTTCAGGCACCTCTCAGTTAACACACAGATCTGACATGAGGAGCCTGGGACATCTCTCAAGCACCACACGTTACTTTCCCTTCTCCACGACTGTAGGTGCACTGCATGATGGGAAAGGCCACCTTCTCCTGTCCCCTGGCCCAGCATTCCTAGTGACCATCCTTCACCTGTCCCCGGGGCTCAGCTCTTAGTGGCTACCTTCCCCTTTTCCTGTGGCCTCTGCTCCTTGTGGTCACTCCCCGCCCCCCCCCCTCCCCTCACCCCCATGGATTCAGCGTTCCTAGGGACTTCTTTCTACAACTTCATTTTTTTTGCTGGTCATGGGGCCTGAACTCTGGGCCTGGGCGCTGTCCCTCAGCTCTTCAGATCAAGGCTAGCGCTCTACCACTTGAGCCACAGTACCACTTCTGGCCTTTTCTGCTAATGTGGTGCTCAGGAATTGAACCCAGGGCCTCATGCATGCAAGGCAAGCACTCTACCACAGAGCCACCTTCCCAGCGCTCTACAACTTTTAAAAGGCTAAATGGAAACAAGAGAACAGATGAAGAAAGAGTAGAATAGCAAACCCACAAACCATCTCTTCTGGTGTCCCACCCTTGCTCCCACAGAGGTGGTAGGTTAGTATCTGACATAGCTCTCCTCTGGCTGAGATTCTGCTCTTGGCGTCCAAGCCTAGAAGAATGCCTGGGTGCAAAGGCTTGTGGGAAATGGTGCAGGGCCTGGTAAATGCCTGATGTAACTCACTGGCATCACCAGGTGTGGTTGGGAGAGGCTGAGGCAGGAGGATCTCTTATGCCCAGGAGTTCATGAACAGCCTGGACCACACAGCGAGATTCTGGTGTCAAAACCCAAAGCAGAACATAGGCACTGTCGCAGGACTCAGTGTCCTGTGTGTCCAGAAGCCTAAAAACAGGCTGAAAACACAAGCTAAGTTTCTCCCAGTGCTTATGACGTTGAAAGCACATTTTTGTCAGCCACTGGAGCTCAGTGGAGAGAATGAAAGGGTGGAATCACCAGCTAACAAATCTGTGCAGAGGAGGGAGCCGCGCAGAGGTCTTCACCCACCTCTGTGGGAGCAGTGGGAAGGTGGGGCTGGGTCACACACAAGGGACATTTCCACATTAGATTTCACGAAAGGCAGCATCAGCAGGCTGCTGGATAAGGACCTGAACAAACCACTTAGGAACGAAGACCACAGAATTGCCTAAGGAGGCTGAGCTGTGTGCGCTTGGCCAGGCTTTGCATTCAGTAGCCCATGAGCATGTGAGGTTCCTTGCGGGCAGAGAGGAGACAACAGTCCCTCACTTGGGCCTTGATGGGCAGGTGTGGCAAATGACGCCCTTAGCATCCACCTGGCACACAGTCACCAAGGAGTGATGTCAGCTTCTTCCACCTCTCTACAACTCTTGTGGTGAATTTGTCTTTAGAGAGCAGCTCACCCCACTAACAGACTCAGAGTGATCAGCCAAGGCCAAGCTCTAATTCCTATAATGGAACAAAAAGGATGAACAGGATTTCAGTGTCTAATGTAAAAAATGAACGTACTTGCACATAAAACGGCAAGACAGGATCAAATAACTCATTACTAAGTGATACTAATTTTGCTGCTAAGTATGACTGAGCCTCTAGTCTTGGCAATAAAGATAATGTCAGGTTTTTATGGTAGTACCAGAGAAAAAGTGATGTATCTGTTATAGCCTATCACAGTATATTTGGATTTATCATGGAAACTGATAATTAGGATGGCCATTCATTCTGGCTGGTCTAGACTAGGCCTGATTTATGCTGATAGTCCTCTTCCTTCATCCCATTCTCTCAGAAGTATTCCCTAGTGCAGAGCATAAGAGGTAAGAGTGGTAAAAGTCCATGTAGTTGAGGGGCTGACTGGACTTCTGGCGTTAGCACCAAGGACAGCACATGGTCCCTTGTTCTCACAAGTCAGGACGCAGTTTGGAAGGAAACCTGGAAATGGCTTCATCCCAATATGGTGCCCAGGTAAGATGCTGGCTTTCTGTACCCTAATGGGAACCAAATGGCCATGGAACAAGGGCTCGGTCCCGGAAGATGTCTGCTCTTTTCCAACGTGAGGTGTGGATTCGTGGAACCCACTGGACAGTGGGCCAGAAGCCCCTGTGGCGCGCTTCGGTGCGTGTGGGAGGGTTGGGATCCCCTTGCTGACCTGCAGAAGTGAATCCTGGCATTCTCCATCAAGTCCAGCCTGGCCCAGATCATCTCCAGGAGGCTCCCATCTCATTAATCTTTCCTCAGATCTATTTTCATTTTAAACAAGGAAATGAATTCGAACTTCATTCCATTTCCTTTCTAACCTCTTCCAGATCTGCAGGAAAATCAAAAGTACGCTGGCCAACAGCACCTCAGACTATATTCCATCACCAGCCACCTCGTTCAGGTGTTTTAGACATTTGAAAACAAGCCTGACTTCAACTATAACTCTTCTACTTGACATCATCATAAGGAATTCACAACTGCTATCAGCTTCCACATGACAAGCAGGAACAAACACATCACGTTCTCCAGAGAGATCACCGCAGGAAGGATGGAGCCATCATGAGAAAACGCCGGCAGTGGCACACAGCTCCACTTGGGGTGGGGGATGGGCTAGGCAGGAAAACACCAAAGTCTCTGTCTCAAAGATTTAGAATTCTGCCAGGCACCAGTGGCTCATGCCTATAATTCTGGCAACTCAGGAGGCTGAGATCTGAGGATTGCAGTTCGAAGCCATCCCAGGAAGGAAAGTCCATGAAATTCCTATTTCCAATGACTCACCAAAAAAAAAAAAAAAAAAAAAAAAAGCCACAAGTAGAGCCGTGCTCCAGTGGTAGTGCTATCCTTGAGCAAAAATAAAAAGCTTAGGGACAGTGTCCAGACCCTGAGACCAAGTCCCAGGACCAGCAAATACACACAAAAAATAGAATTCCATTTATAGAACAAAAGAGATGTTATAAACCATTGACATGGAGGCACTGGGAAAGTAACAGAAGCTAAGTGTGAGTCTTCTGCAGCTAGTCACAGGGTGGGCTATTTGTGAGAGCCACTGTGGATGGATGAAAATACTTTTAATGGTTTTAAAGCATCAAGTAGCTTATAACAAGTAGGGAAGTAAGAGGCTCTTAGACCCAATCTAAGTGGAAAGGAAGGCGTGCATGGAATCTGAAAGCATTCTGGCCAAGGTACTTCCCAAATTTTTACTTCCCAAATTTTAGCCAGGTGCTGGTGGCTCCGCTTGTAAGCCAGGCTACGTGGGCGGCTGAGATCTGAAGACTATGGTTCAAAGCTAGCCCAGGCAGCAAAATCTGTGAGACTCTCATCTCTCATTAATCACTAAAACACCCAGAAGTGGAGATGTAGCTCAAGTGGTATTGCCCAATGAGAGTACTAAGACTCTGAGTTCAAGTTGCAGTACTAGCACAGAAAAAAAAATAAGAAAAAAGAAATGAGAGGATCTGGTGGCAACTGTGGAGTCAAGAAAAGCCAAACGTTGAGCCCCTCTGATGCTGGGGGTACAGAGATCAAGTAAGGAGCTTTGAGCAGAAGCCAAATGCCCTGGCAGCTGGGTTCTGTGAAGGAGCCTCAGGTTAGGAATTCCATTACGCGCATACTGATGGAAAACGACTCGAACGCACTCACCTCTCGCTGATGGCAGTACCTCAGAACCGTCCTTGCTGCTGACCGTGCCCAGTCATCCCTGTCCCCACCGCTCCCCCTGAACAAACGCGCCCTGCGGTCTTGGAAGGGAGCCTCAGACCAAGGCCGTGTCTGGCGCTGAGGCCCCTAGCGGACACAGATGCTGTTGACACCTTGAAACTCCTCAGTCAAAATTAGATTGCTCCACCCGCCTCCACCTCATCCGTTTCCATCTGCCGCCTGTCCCTTTTCCGGCCTCACAGCGAAGGCCCCTCTTTGCCAGGCGGGCGCGCCGTTGCCTCTGCTGGGGCTGAAGGAGACTGGGCTTCATCCCAGGCTTTCCTCCCGAATGAAACCTGTGTGTTGAGGTTTGCCTTTCTGCTCTTTTTCTTTTCTAACACATACTACCACCTGTCCCTAGTGGATGGAGGGGGTTCCCCTCTGGGATTGTGGACCAAGCCAGGAGAAGAATCCCAAGGCCCCAGTCATGCTTGAGCCTGGAGGTTGAGCGCACACCAGGTGTGGGGCTCATCAGCCCCCAGCCATGTAGCACAGCCCCTAACGGGGCCTGACCTGGGGACCCAGCAGAGGCTGAACAAACCCTTCCTGGGGAGCACACAATCCCACCCCTCACAGGGAATTTCCTCCTAATGAGCTCATGTCAGAAAACACCACAGCACACAGCCCGCAGGGATCCACAGGGATCCGCAGTGAGGAGGAGGAGACTTCACTCCGCTTTGGGCATTATTAGAGCCACTTTTCCTAACTGTACTTAAATAAAAGACAAGACAGAATATTTCATTCCGAGCCAAAGAGAACTTCTAAAACCCAAAGTACACGAATCAGCGTAAGCATGAATTGCATGAAAAAGTACATCATGGATGTGTGTTTATATAGAATGTTTCAAAGGCTTTCCAACAAAACCGACACTAGATTAGGCAGTGTGGTACATGCCGGTCATCCTAGCTACTCAGGAAGCCAGAGATCAGAAGGATTGTGGCTCAAGACTGGCCTGGGCAAAAATTTAGCAATAAAAACTGGGCATGGAGGGACAGCGCCCCCACCCAGCTCTG